CCCCCCTCCGTCCAGCAACTTTCGCTAGGCGAACCACTATCGAAGGACAGAGTCATTTGATAGCGGATACGTTATTGCCCGGTGCATCCGGTCATTTTGTGTGCACCAGCGCCGCGGCGCATCACCTTGAATCGAACCTCCGGTTGCGGCGAGTGGGAAACGGAGCTGTTCCTGGAGGTGGACACACACACCTCCGCGCAACGAATTCTCCGATTTTCACGATCGGCCGTGCGCGCGCGAGAGCACGTTCGCGGATTTATTTACGGCGACATTAAAGCGCGCGGGATCTCTCTCCCTCGCGACACTCGCGGTCTCGTTGTTCCTGTTATTCCGCGAAACCAGCTAAGGCGAATTGAATTGTTGCCAACGAAGGTGGCTCGTCGCAAATGAAACGCGAAATTTTGCCAATCGCAAATTAAATTGTCGCAAGCGAAATCGCCGAGTCGCAAATTGAAGCGCCGAATTGCGAAATTGAGCGCCGGCTCGCTTGGAAATTTCTCGACTCTTTCCCGCGCACTTCCGTTCTCCGCCGCTTCGCGTTTCACGATGCATTTTTCCTTTCGAGGAGCCGCACATTGTGGGCGCCTTCGCGAAAGTAAAAAAATCGAACTCACCGCGTTGCGGCGCGTCGTCGCGATTTTCGCGGCGCGCCCGACGACGGTAGTTTCGACTTTAGATTCCGGGCACGGACGTTCGCCTCGCGCCGTCGACCTGTCGCCTGCATGCGCGACGATTGATCGCATCCAAAGAGGCTCGCGCGCCCAAGCGAGAATTCCCTTGAGCTCGCTCGCGCGCGAGCGTCCGTTTCTAACGTTCTTTGTTAACGCTTGACTGAAAGCATACACTCGCGCGTCTATAAGGATACCGCAAACACATTTTAATCGCACGGAGGCGCGCGTACGAATCGCACCTGACGGAGCGGCTTTCGCGTCGGAGCGCGAGTCGAACAATCTCGCGGCGTCGCGACGCGTGATTATTGCTCCTCCTATTTTTCCGATCGTGCACGACCTCCGTTCTGCAACCGTTGCTTGCTTTCTCTAGATTTAAATATCGTTAAACCGCTTTGCCGTTATGCTGCTTCCAAAGACAGCATTCCGCTCATTTTCAAAATCGTTCACTTCGCTATCGTGACTTCAATACGCGCACGGACTTTAATTCCGGCAATCTCGAGCCATCTACGTAACTGGAATGCGGATAGCTTAAATATAAGGATGTACACAGAGAGAATTTTATGGTTACAAACGTTATTATGGAATTTCGCAACCGAGAAACTGATCGACGCTCCGACATTGATTGATTATTCTTCCGTTCCGTGTTTTGTGCTATGCGTATGTTAGAAAATGAGATCTACTATTATGAAATTCAAGGCAGAGTAAACTCCATCGACTATTTCTATCGTTAGTCTATTGTTGTACAAGTAGAAAACATGGTAAAATTGAATAGAATTCCTGTGAAAAGAGCTATCTTCATTGTGTACGGTAAACATCATATATGTTTATTTTCTACGCAAAGAAAACATTTTCTTTGGATTAGTTTGGGTAGATTAATTAAAGAAGCCTCTATAGACACCCATTTTCAATAATTAACAACTCGAAATTTTGCATGTTGTTTACAAAATGATTGAGAACTTTTTTGTTCAGCTCAACTCATTTTACGGGTTTCCCGTGTTGATCTGGGATCCCTGTATGTATATACTATTTGGTTTTCAATAAAAGAAATTTATTTCATTATATATTAAACATTGTCCTCTCTATCTCTCTCTTTCTCCACTGAAACAAAGTTCTTTAATATTTTTCTAACATAATGTTATTTCTTTCAAATAATTTATTGCTTGTAACAACCATTATAATATTTGAATGAAAAACAAAGAAATATGTTATTTGACGTAAAGATATTTATTGTTTGATAAACCAAACAATCCTGTTTGTTGAGTCAACCTTCGTTTGTTCGCTCCACTTCAAGAAATAAATTTGCTGAAGAAATTTTATTAAATCCAAAGAAATGTTTTCCTCGTACAGAAAATTACACAGTTTTCAGTTTAATACAAAGCTCATGAGGTTGAATAAATATAACTCCAATTATAATGATGGAATTATAATGACTCGAATTATAACGATTTTGACTTTATGTGTCAAGGCTGAAAATTGTATAATTTTCAATCTAGAGAATGGTATAATTTTCAATCTAGAGAATGGTACAGCGTATGTAACCGCGGCTATACAGCGATGGCGGAGTTCGATTCTCCCTTGAATCTGTTCCCCGCTAAAAAATGTCTCTCGTTTCATGGCGTTTCCTTATTTCGATGCGGGAAGATACAAGCTTGGTGAAATAACGTGTTTCTTAATGTTCATTCCGATTCCGATCGTACATTCCCGGAGTCATCGGCGTGTCTCCGCATCTTCCGCAGGACATAATGAGTTACGTGTCGGTAAGAAGCTCCGGATGGAAATACCTCGGGATGGGAAGGAAGCGTCGCGCAGCTAGCCTCGCTCGTATTGATTTCTTCGGTTATTTGCAGTGGTGACTGAGTCGATGCTCTCTCTTTCTCTCTCCCACCATCGTGACGGTGAGACTAACACGGGAACGGGTCCGGAGTCGCGCGTGTGAGCGTGCGTGCGTGCGAACACGGGTGTGCGCGGTGCGTGCACATTGGGCGCTTACGTCATCCTCGCTATTCCTGTTCCAGCCCATCTCCGCCGCGCACATCCTGAGAACCGTTGTCCTTAGGAACCTGCGAGCGAGCGAGCGGGCACGAATGAGTGAGCAGGCAAGCGAGAGCCTAAGAACACCCTAATCGTCTCTTGCTCGACCTCGAGTGCCCATCGAATGACCTCGACGATACTCCGCCGGCTATTACGGACCCACACATCGCGCAACGGCGTCATATCACATCCAAGATACGCCCATATCATCCTTTTACGCGAAGTCAAACGTTAACCGATCAGATTTTTGCTCTACTAGACGAGGAGTGCCGATGTAACCCGAGTCGATATAACCCGAAATTTAACCCTGTGTTAAATCTTTCATTCTACAACACAATAAGAGCTAAATTAACCAAATAAGTTCAATTCGAATGATATAATTTACTGATTTACTCCCACTTTTTAACCGTGAGAGTATCTTAAATACCGGTCTTTGTTGCTTTCAGCGTCAAAATAAAAAAATAAATAAATAAATTGTTCTGCATTTAATAATCGAAATATCGAGAGCATTTGTAGCTTCAAAATCAAATGTGTTAAAATGAAATCTCTGCGGAGTCAAAGGTAAAAGAGAGAGGCTAAGAAGTGTAGTATCGTCAAAGTAAGCTTTTACTAGTCTATAGACGCATCTAAATAGGCGCAAACTATCCTTAAGAGCGTCAAAGTAGCATCAGAACTTGGATTTTTAAATTGTTAATAACGGTTCTTTTAGTACAATCGGTTTGTTTTAGTACAATCTGCTTTAATTGATTTTGACACATATATTGAGAGATCGCGTTTTCCAGATCAGATTCAACGATTGCGTTTCGATGAGAAAGTCATGGAATAATTTCTTTCTTCCGAGATTAAGAAAAAAAGGGCGTTGCACTTCTGCGCGGATTTCAAGGTTGAGAATCGAAATCTCGAAAAACTGTAAGATACATATATGCGCATTTCATTTTCTGCGAAAAGAAAATACTGACGCTCGATTTGGCGTGAAATGCGATGACGCGTGCGTGGGACGCACACGGACATTCGACTGCCCACATAGCCGACCATAATACAGCGGCTTGCGAAATGTCGGTTCTCGAAAATGCCGCGAAGTCGTCGATTTCGGAGAAAGTGCCATTCGTGCGATTTTTTGATGCCTCGTTCAACGTTGCGTTCGCACAGCTTGCTTTTGCAAAATTTTAATTGCATCGAGTATAAAAAATACATTTTATATTTTTATATAAAGTCAAATTCTAAGTTTTGAAATAACGAATAATTAGAATATATCAAATTAATTCCTCTAATCTTTCTTTATGAAGAAGAATCTCATAATTTATACGTTCAAATAATCCGAAATAAGAAGTTACATTAAAAAAAAAATAGAAGTTTTATATATTTG